TCTGCTACAGAAAGCTATAAGACAGCCACACCTTCACCTCTATCTGACAACACACTGTTAATAATTTGTCTTCTCAGTGTTGCCACAATATTTTTGGTTGCTGAATACAAATAAGAGCAGAAAAGTCACTGTTGAAAATTTAATACTAAAGTTCCACATTATGAAAAGTTTTTTTTCTGTCCACCAAAGTAAATAGGATTCAATAGATTTTTGTAAAATTCAACTTACCACCAGAACCGACAAAAATATTCATAATTAACACACCTCCCATTGTGGGGGGACTGCTCACACACACACACACACACACACACACACACACACACACACACACACACACACACACACACAGCAGATGTTTTGCAAAGATTCAGATTTTCTTTTTAGAGTTTTGAGTTTAGACCTTTAAAATATGTAATTCCACTCTTAAAATGGAATTAAAGTAATTTAATTAAAGTCATTAAAGTGAAGTTAAAGAATGTTAGATTTCAATATTCATTCAGATTTTTGCTGACTCTAAATTTTCTTTGGTCAATACTAAATTTTTTTCTAATGTACATTATAAAGATATTTAACTACTTTCGTGTGAACTTCAGCTTTCAACAGTTCTGCACTTTCAGCTTACAGGTGAATGATTCAGTGTATTGCAGTTAAATTTAACAAGTATTTAACAAATATTCCCAAATATTTAAGCAATTACAGGATTTCAGCTAAAAAAAATAAAAATAATAATTCATGTATCAGCATCCATCCATGCCTTTTCTTCTGCCGGGTCGCGGGGGCAGCAGCCCAAGCAGAGAAGCCCAGACCTCCCTCTCCCCAGCCACCTCCTCCAGCTTATCCGGGGGAACACCAAGGCATTCCCAGGCCAGCTGAGAGATATAATCTCTCCAGTGTGTCCTGGGTCTGCCCCGGTGGGACATGCCCGGAAAACCTCACCCAGGAGGCGCCCAGGGGGCATCTGACCACCTCAACTGGCTCCTTTCAATGTGGAGGAGCAGCGGCTCTATTCTGAGCCCCTCCCGAATGGTTTAACTTCTCACCCTATCTCTAAGAGAGAGGCCAGCCACCCATTTCCGCCACTTGTATCCGCGATCTTGTTCTTTTGGTCACTACCCACAGCTCTTGACCATAGGTGAGGGTAGGGGCGTAGATCAACCGGTAAATTGAGAGCTTCGCTTTTACAACATAAAAGCACCATAGCTTAAATAATTGTCTAAAATTGTAGACGGTAACTGATTTTTGTGGATGCTTCTACCTCTGGCTGTGAGTACTTCTACAAACACTCAAACCTGCAGCTTATGTGAAATTATACCAGAAATCAAAAGAGCACTCCAAGCATTGAACAGAGACCTTCAGACAACATAGGAAATGTTGAAACTGAGAATTTTATTACACTTTAAAAAATACACTTTGATTTTGAATTTAATGACCACAAAGCTTACTCTAAAAAAGAAGAAAAAAATAAGAACTTGGTGTAATATATCACAACTATTTTACTATTTATGTATTCAGCTAACTGTTTATATTAATCAGTAACATAACTGGGAATAAAAAAAGAGCATCCAAGAGAGTCATTCAGTAAGACAGGGGTATGCAACATTATGAGTGTACATTTGAATAGAATAGAATTAGAATAGAATAGAATAGAATAGAATTCAACTTTATTGTCATTGCACATGCACAGGTACAGGGCAACGAAATGCATTTGTTCAACAATCTCAGATATGTGTTCTTTTTCTAATAAAAAAAATGCAAAGAATTTAGTAATTTCATCATCTATGATAAATAATATTTCTGTATGCAAGGGACAGAGCTAAAAAGCATGCACATTATAGGGACAACAGTACTGGGCAATCTACACCTGCAGGAGCTGTGTTCATATTATTAGGGCCTTTGGGCACATTGAAAACGGACACACCTCAGTAGTGGACATGGTTTCTTTGGCTCTGGCTTCTTCTGAAAAGCACAATCTGAAACACACTTCATTGCTGCATTCACACACACAGTTCAAAACTCTACCATGGAAAGAAAAAAAATCGCATGCCTGCAATTTACTCAGAGCCCAAACTCATTTAAGATGGACTGAGGCGAAATCATTCACATCATTCACACTACATCCTGTGGGTAAAGAACACAGGAAGACCGCGACCATCTGCTTTTTTCTTTTAAATCAAGGTGTAGTGTAAATACAGCATTCATGATAGTATGGGGCTCACGTGGAATGGATAATATTCACATCTTTAAGAATCAATAATGCTGACGTATGTATGTAGTTTTTAGAATCATATGCACTATATGGACAAAAGTACTGCGCCACCTACACATTACACCCACAGGAGCTGCTCAGCCGTGGAAACCCATGCTGTGAAGCTGCTGGCACATCGCTTTTGTGCTGATGTTAAAGGCAGAGGAGGTTTAGAGCAGCAGCCGAGCATTTGGTTTTATGCACTTTATGCCTCAGCACGTAGTGTATTAAAAAGTTACAGACTTACGGAGACCCTGCTGTGTATCTTAATGTGGTCTGCAACATCTTTGCTGAGTCGCTGCGCTTCCTAAACATTTCCACTTTATGTAAGAGGGAAGAACTTTGCAATGAAGACATCCTGTTATAGTACCACACTCAAACTCAGTGAGCTCTTTAAAGCAACTCATTCCTTCACAAATGTTTATAAAGTGTGTGATTTTAGACACCTGTGATCATGAGACTGAGACTGTATGTTTTCATCCAGACTACCTCAATTTCAGGGCTGGCTTAATATTTATTAACTGGATTGGTGGATCGGTACACTCTACACATTTAAACATTTTCCAATTGGGATTTATTTCTCTCTCTACTCAAACAAGTCAGTTCTTTAAAGTGCTGTCCGTGATATAATTCTTGTTAATGAAGGCCTCATGCCAAAGCCCGTTGGTCAAGTGACAATATCTGTTCTTTCTGCTAAAAGTGTTGCAGGAAATGCAACCTCTTTAGACCCTTGTGCTTATCCGTGTGCCTTGGAAGCAGGTGAAGTTTTCCCAGAAACCTTCATTTTATTGTTTATTTCAGCAACAGAATAATGTGACAGGAAATAGTTTTAAGGGCTGCTTTTGTGTCATCTTTCATAAGTTTGCCATACGTCTCAAAAATGGTTGTTTTACCTCACAATAATGTCTTCACCTGGCATGGGAGAGGACTGAGTTGTGTAACAGAAACATCATGTATTGAATTAGTCTTCTACTGGTCTTGTTTGCAGTGTGAATCAATGCAACCAAAGCTGCATGGCTGACCACAAGTCTGTACTGCTGTATTAAGAATGTAGGGAGATCTCTCACCGATCGCTGCTGTCTCTAAGACCTTGACTGCAGACTTTCGGCTACGATTATGGCCGACGTGTGTTTGTTTTTGAGTGTAACCCAATGTACTGGACATGAACCGCTAGTGCATATGTGTGTGTGCGTGTGTGTCTGTGACCAGTGAGCTGGTTGAGCTTGTATTGAAGGTACTTTGTAGTAGACACACCCAAGGCTAAAAATTTAAGCTTAATACAACTGGACATATATAGCCACAGCACTATAGATCGATCACAGCAGCCAGTAAAAGACAAACAATATTCATACATCCAGTCAGTGTTTCACCAGTAAAAGTGGGAAGAGCAGCTACAGCTGTCGTCACAGCGACCAGTTAGATACTGTCAGACATCAGCCATTTAAAGTGAGTTATGAGCACTAAATGTGCCATTTCTCCTTTCCATATCCACAGTCTTTTCCTTAAGTGGCACCACAACTGGAATGGCCTCGCACACCATCTGTTCCGAAGGAATTGGTTTATAAAACATATTGTCGGAGGATGCAAAAGTGTTGCTAGGTAATGCAAAAGTAGTGTTCATGTTTTTCACCTCGAGTAGCTCCATAAAATCAAAACAGATCTCAAAGCAGACAGCAGCCCAGCTTTTGTGGAATTGGGCTTGTTACACTCTACTTATGCTGGAATTGAAATCCCCTCCTGAAATGAGCTCTGATTTTTTTTATGTATGAAGGCCATCTACTACTATTTATTTCTCTGTGATGCTGCCGGTGTTGTTCCAAAAAAGTGATTTCAGAAGTTCCTATGTGTTTTTAATGTCTAGTATCTTCACTTGTATTTTCAAATAGATTGCAGTGAACAGGATTTACAAAGAGCTTATATATAAACAAAGAAATTACCTGTTTTACAAGTCTCTTTGTGACTTTACATTATTGTAACCACATAAAAATATTTTAAGGAACTACAATGAGTATCATTGTAGTTCCTTAAAATATTTTTTATAGAAATCTTATGTTATATTTGTTATAACTTTTCATGCCCAGGTTTCTCTTGAAAATTACTTTTTTTAAGCTGATTGGAATTTCTACCTTGTGATAATATTCCTTTGGGTATAAAATTACTTGATATCATTAATGAGAGATATGTTTGAAATATTTTTGCCAGATCATAGGCCAACAAGTCATTTATACAGCTTAATTACCACAACTGAGTTTTCGGTAAATACTGGAAATCATTTTTTGGCACTTGTTGTGTGAAAAAGAAAAAGAAAAGAAAAAAAGATTGTCTGTATTTAAACGGTTTTAAATTACGTGTTGACCTATAATCTGTGAAACACACATCAAACATATCTCCCGTGAATGATATTAAGCTGTTTTTGGCCAAAAAGAGAGCAAAGTGACTTTTATATACCCATTATTTATGAACACAAAACTCTGATTGATTAAAAATGTTTTTTTCAAGAGAGGTGGGGCCAGCAGTAAAATTGCAACAAATATAACATAATAGTTACATAAAGATATTTTAAGTGGTCAAAAAGAGCTGGATTGATTATAATGTAGCAGCAGGTACGTAAAGATACTTGCAAAACAGGTCATTTGCTTGTTTTATATATCCTTTTATAACTCCTCCTTAAATCTCGATGATCCCAGACTATTTATCAATATTGGCAAAAATATAGCAAAAATATTATACATTAAAAAAATTGAAACACCGGAAATCACTTTTTGGCAACACCCTCATTCCTCTGTACAAGCGTTCAGCGGCAGCGCCTTTTTTTCCTATCCACGAGATGTCTCTCTGCCTCCCCCTGGCGGCCGCTCCGCCTCATAAACACAGAAACTGCTAACAGTTGTCAAAACTGAATGATATTTTTTCCACGGGAGCAGCTCAAACCCTGGTGTCTGACACACACACAGTTATTGAAAAGAACTTAACAAGCCTTTTGAAAGCATTAGAAAGATATTTGCGCTGGAGGAAAGAGGGAGGGGCACCCCGTACTCATCACTCCCTTCACCTCCAACCCAAGATCACTCTGCAGTCACTCAAGGGCGCACTCCCACACACACACACACACACACACACACACACACACACACACACACACACACACACACACACACACAGACTGAGAGAGAGAGAGATACATGCAGGTATTAACTGGAGGTGGAGAGAGGAGCGCACAAACTGCTGTCCGCTGGAACTCTTCTCAGAGGACATGAGGGGATGCGTTTCGGTGCCGGTGGCTGTCCGTCCTCATCTCCTTCACATAGAAAGTCGCCTCCTATGCCGAGCGGAGACGCAGGTATAGAGTCTTCTTCCACCTGGCAGCCTGCTTCTTCCCATCCCGGCGCTCCACGCGCCGCACCTCTCATTTCTAGCGAGCGGAAGGAGGAAGGCAGGGTGGAGGGGGAGGGGGGAGGTTTTACTCGGCGGAGAAGGGGATAATAACATCACGTTAAATGAGTCGCGCGTGCCTTTTGTGTGCCGTGCGTTAAAGCCGTGGTTAATGTGATGCCGGGTCTGCAAGCAGCACAGATGACTTGAGCCTCGTTCTGCAAAGAGAAGACTCACCGATAACCATGGCTGACCAGGTAAGGGGACGCAGATGTTCCACTACAGCCTCGTGCGCTCTGCACAATAGCCAGCCACACACTCCAGGTACGCTGCTACAACACCGCCTACGTTTTTTTTCTGCAGCACACTTTGGTTTCTCACAGCTACACTTTCTATGTGCAGGAATCCTTTTTTTTTTTCACTTTTATTAGATAATTGTTTTATTATTATTATTATTATTTAGGCTCTTAATTTCTTTCACTATCACGCGAACTTTGACTGCTCATTGGTGACTTAAAGACTGAATATTAATGAACCAGATTTTCTCACCCGGTCTAAACCCCACTTGCTGTTAGGTGTTTCGGCGTTTGCTGTGACGGGATATCTGTGTGTTCTGTAAACCGTCGGCAAGTGTTACACTTCTTAAACGCCTTCGATCCATCCATATAGTGGAGCACTTAATCCCACAGGTTACTCCATAGCTGAGCACAATTATGGATCAGCTGTACAGTAAACACGGCTCGTAAGACTCGAAAGTAAAAAAGACTAACTGGGCTGGAAAGAAACAGCAGTGTCTGTGTGATTGGGCTGCAAGGAAGAGAGAATAAAAACATAGTCTGTAGTATTAATTTTGTATTATGCACTGCTGTTTGCCCCAGTTTCTAGACAGCCTGGCGAGAGAGAGATTAACCCCTGACACGCTGGCGCGATCCGTGGTCACGGTCTCTGCGTAGGAAAGCTCCTCTGAGCGCTGCAGACAATGGACTTCCTTACAATGTCTACAATTTAGGATTAGATCCTTTGGCTGCTACCTGAGCGACAGGCTCTGAGTGATGTGTCTGTGTGTGCACGAGAGAGCTACATACTCAAGTGTCACAATCAGCCACACCTTAACTGCATTTTGTTGTAAAAACACTATACAATATTAACAACACTGCAATTACCCTATAGTGCACTTCAAAGGACTGCACTGTTACACTCTGTGCTCTATTTTACACCAGGAAAAGCGTCATGTTTAGCAGTCAGAGGATCCTATCTTGAGGCTGGCTGTCCAAACTGTTACATTTCATCCAAGACAGAGGTCTGAATCAGTGTCAGGTCTACAGCCTCCTTACTAGCAAAAACATAATTTTACATTATACCAGTCATACCACCACCAGTCAACGAGCTGTGCAACAGCTTTCTTTCATTTTCTTGTCAGCATTGCTTTGTGACAACAGCAGACAGACTGAATACACATTTTTGAAATTACACTTTCTTTCTTAAAATATCTCAGTTTCATCAGTAGTAGGTGGACTTCTTAAAAAAAAGACATCTCCATGCAACACTATACAAAAACACTACAAATGGTATGTACAGAGTAACTAACAATGCAGTACTGTCACAATAGTCCTGTGAATGTCACAATAGTGATGGTATCACATTCACAGGACAACAGTTCTCTGATACATCGTGATATCTGTGGAACCAAATAGAAACTGGGTTTCTTCCATTAACTTTCATTATTCATTTAAAAAACCATTAAATATTAAGTTTGGTGTGTGTGCTGTATGCTATAGTGTACTATTGTATACTAAACTACACTACAGTATAGAGTATTACTATTACTTCTCTTACTATAGTATTCTATGCTATACTATGTGCTACATTATACTATACTATATTAAAATAAACTATAGTATACTTACTATACTATTCTATACTATATGCTACAATATACCTAACCTTTCTGCTATACCTTTTTAGTTTGCTACATTATAGCAACCTACCCAAATCTAATTCAACACGCAAGTTTATGACTTGTAGCTCGTGTCCTGTGACGTGCTCAGCTCAGTAACACAACAGTAGCTGTAAACTGCATTGTAATGTATTCGAGTGTGCTCCTATTATTGTGTCAGTCCCCTTTAATTAAGTGCCAGTACTGTACTTGGCTGTGCCACAGACAGACACAGAGCCACCAATGCTTGGTGCTGCTGTGGAGCTAGATTAATTGCTATATTAATATTAATGCAGGTCTTCTGTGGTTGACCTGCTGTGGCTGCAAAACACACACTCCCACACACACACATGCACTATTGTGCTCGTGCAGAAACACTCACAGCTTTCTCAGCAAAGCCATTGTTCTATACAAAACCACTGGAAGCCTCCAATTATAGATTTCCATTTTTAAAAGACTAAGAATAAAGATGCAGACTTTATGTTTTTGACCTGTTTGCATGTGAATTCCCGCTGTGCACACACTCACCGTGCAGCATATAGCCACCTGAGTGCACTTATTACGCACAGCTGCAGTCTCTTTTTGTCTATCCTTGCCAAATGTTTCCGTGTTACATGCACGCTTCTTGTTGTTCTCTGGTCTCCACCTCATTCTCTGCATCCTTATCAACCTGCTGTCACTTTTCTGTCAGCAGCTCCTACTGCCCTCATATCACCACTCCCCACCTCAACATCTCCCTCCTCCTCTCTTAATTTTCCCTTTGACATGCTCGGTGTCTTCATCAGCATCTTTCTCTCACACTGCCATTCATCTGTCTCACCTCTGCTGTTATCACCTCCCTCCTTCTCCTTTTATTTTTTACACACATACGCACACAGTGGAAGTACCCTCCCCCTCCCACATTCTCCTGCGATAACATGGACAAGAATAGGCAGCGTTACAGGTAGATCAGCTGTCTGCTTTGAACTTTAAAAATCTGGGAATGCACTCGTGCCAGCAACACCTCCCGCAATGCTCAGTGACAGTCTTTCTTATTTTGTCTCTATTTCACTCTAGTACAGTATGTTTCTAACGACGGCACCCCCGCTTCGGCGAGGGAGCACACCCCTGCCTGTCAAGCACCAGCTGCGAAGGGAAGAGGCCGTATCCGAGGACTGTGATTGGATCCCGGGCTTGGAGGAGCCTACCACGTTGCCTATCAGTGACACAGCGGTGCCTCGGGATGAGTCCTTCAGCCAATCGGCTGCTGCCCAGTCATCTTACCACAGCCATGGCGGGGCACTGAGGATAGTGCTACTGGGACAGAATGGCGTGGGCAAGTCGTCGCTGGCCTTATCTCTGGCCGGGCAGTCAGACAGATCCCTCTCTATAGACTCTGAGACACAAGCATGTGGTAATGACCTGGACAGAGATTGATGGAATGTCTTCATACATGCATGTTCACCTATATTCATAGTTTGTTTCCACTTAGTTTTTAACTAGGTTTAACCAAGGTTTAACTTTAGAAAACAGTAAGGCACGCTCATCCAACCACAAAATTCACCCAACCACTCTTTGAGCACTTTTGTTTTGCCATATCATGACTACCTAAATCATGTAGTGTCCAAATGTCTAAAAAAGACTGGTGTACATCAGTAGCGCTTATGCATGAAGGCTATACCTTTTTAGTTTACATTAAGTATAAAACCAAAGAGTAAAACTATGTTTAGGTTTACAATTCTGATCCTGAATTTCTCACCTCCAAGAGAGGTTTACAGGTTTCCCTTTTTTCCTGTTCTTTTTGCTCAGCTCAGCAAATGCTTTTATATTTAGCATGCAGACATTGTGCAGATTGGTAGGTGGGACCAAGGGATTCTGCACTAATCCGTACCAGCTGTTTCCACCTATTTTGTTTTTTAGTTTAAGCTAGGATAACCAGCTACTAGCTGTAGCTTTAAATATAATAAAGAGACATGTAAAAGGTCTCAGTGACCTCAGCCAGGCAAATGGGATATTCTGGTTTATTGGTCTTCGTGTCATTGGGTATATTTCTACTTAAGGTATACACGTCTACCATTAAAGCTCATTAAAACTGTCCCAACCCTCCTTCCCCCTCTATCAGTCAGCAGGTCTGTCTGTGGCAAAGATCAGTTTAACACCGGGGATAATCAGCTCTTGTCTCGGCCAATCGATAAGTCATTGTCATTAAGAGACGAACGCTCTCCATCATGCATAAAGCTGACGTATCCTTGACATCATCATGTGGTATTCATTGCTGCCAACATTGTACATTTGGATTTATGCATCATACAGGGAGAGAAACAAAAACCCCTCTCAGACAAGGAGCCTTTACATGTTTCCCCAATGCCACTCTTATCATGCCGGGGAATTTAAGTGGTGCACTAAACTGTTCAATTATTCACACATTAAAATTGCAAAGTGTGGAAAGAAAAAAAAAAAAGACACAACACCTATTTAATTAGCACTTTTTTAGTAGTTTTGAACAGATGCTCAGAACCATAGCATCTGTGAGTGGAGTAACACCTTACCAGCCAATACGCAAAGTAATTACTTTCCAAAGACAGCATTGATTTACACTGGGAGATTTGTTGTCCCTAAGAGCAGAAATCTCATTGATCCCGGTGAGTTTTCCACAGTTATTGTGTATTTTAAAGAAGAAGTGTTTGTGCTAATGGTGTAATGATAGGAAGCTTCAGTTTGTTACGCCAAAATTAATTTACGATATTTAATGGGTACGTACAGTAGCTCCATCTGGCTGCTTTTGTGTATCAAAAAGAATCATCGGATTTTCAAAGTGCTTTGATTTTGCAGCTGTTGCCGGTAACAATTAAAACACATACAATTAGAAAGAGGGGATTCGTGAGTTTCATGTGGTTGCTGGAAGGTAGCGTACCAACGGCAGTCGCCGCAGTGATTCCAGACGTGCCTGTATTTTAAATGTATCATAAGATTCAATGTCCATTACTCAAAAAAATTGCCTTTTGAGATTAGATGATGGAAAATTAAGCATGCGATTCGAAAATAGTGACACGTGATGTGTTATTTCTCTATATCAGGGGTGTCGAACTCCAGGCCTCAAGGGCCGGTGTCCTGCTAGTTTTAGATCTCACCCTGGGTCAACACACCTGAATCAAATGATTAGTTCATTACCAGGCATCTGGAGAACTTCAAGACATGTTGAGGAGGTAATTTAGCCTTTAAATCAGCTGTTTTGGATCAAGGACACATCTAAAACCTGCAGGACACCGGCCCTCAAGGCCTGGAGTTCGACACTTGTGCTCTATATGGACTCAATCTTCACTGTCTCATATACGCTGCTGCTGTGAATATTCAAAAATGTCTATTAATCTGCAACTGAAAACATTTCATTCCCCAAATAATAAATCTCGTTTCAAGTAGCATTTGGTAAAAATTGACCTTGACTTATAGGAAATGGGGAAAATCTACCTTTTTGACGAGCTGTTTGAAAAGATTTCCTTCTTCGGTAAGAGTAAAGAGGCTTGGACCGAGAGTCGCCGATAAGGCAGAGCAGTTAGACTGGGCTTTAACATATAGGCTTAAAACATTTGTTTCATGGGATTCCTTGACAGTTAAGAAAATGTGGAATATCACCATCATCATTTAAACTGGAGCAAAATAGCATTAAAACATCTGCATTATACCGCCTTCATAAACACATCATTTAGCTCCAAAGCCCGGTCTTTAAATGCTTTGCTGTAATCTTCACAGATAATGATGTAAGAACTCTCGAGTAGGTCAAGGACAGTTTTTAAGACTTAAACTGGTTCATCAGTGTCTTGAGGCAGAATATGCAGACAATCTACTTAAGTGGTGAATATTGTGATTCATTCTTTTTATCGCCACAATTCCTGTTATGATTTTCTTTTACAACCTGTCAGACCCCCCCTATTTATTCTTAACATGAGCTGCATTGTCCTTTCTTATGTGTGACGAGGGCGTTTTGTTTGCAGGTGAGGGCTACGAGTATACGGTGACAGTGGACGACGAGGACAGCAAAGTCATCATTTTTGACAACTGGAAACAGGTGAGTGACTGATAGCTTCGTCCTCTCTCTGTCTTCTTTTTTACACATTTAAACCAGTTCTGTGTCCCTTCTTACTCAATGCCCTCTTTCTCTTCCCACTCTTTATAATCTTTGCCTGTACTGAAGAACAGGGAAAGCCATTTGTCTGATTTCACGTGTAAAGAGGTGTAAAGAGAGTGCATTCCTACTTTTGCTTTTACACCTACTTGTGCGTTTGCGTGTGTGTCCTCCACTGTAGAGGGAATCCTGGAGAAGCGTTCGCTGTACTTGATCTCTTTGAAGTTCTCTCTCTCAAAAGTGGGAATCACTCAGTAGTTAACAACATATGTTTCGATTCAAATCTGCTGAAAAAAGACAACTTCTTCGCAGGCTAAAATTGCTCCTGCTACGCATCATCGGTCTTTACAGTTGAACAGTGCGCGCAAGTTAATGTGACCTGGTGGTGGTGATTGTCGTAGCAGGAGAAACTTGAGCACCAGCAGCCAGCTTGTCAAAAAAAAAAGATCCTTTTGACACAGAGCGTATTATGCAAAACCAAAAGGCGTGCAGTTATTAATGGCTGTTAATAATGTGATGGAACAGTAGAGCCCTCTAATTAGTATGTGGGGTAGATCATCCTATTCCAGATGTCCACTGGGCTTTCTCTTTTCTTAAGGTTGAATTAGTCACATTTAACTCAGGAGCATCCACAGCAGGGGTGCTCACTTCTTCACTTTTCCTGGTCCCCCTTTCTCACCTCCAGTGTTGTTGCCTTGCAGTCGTTGTGTTTAAATACCCTCGTCTGTTCTTTCGATGGCTTTTTTTCGTGCTTGCTCGCCTCATTCTGCTGGTTAAATCTTGCTGAGAGTTAATTATATTTGTTATTATGTGCGTGTTTATACAAGGCAGGGCATTAAGGCTGAAGCAACAGAAGCAGTACAGCGGGGAGCTTGGAAAGACTCCAGGGCCGTCTGCACTTGGTGGGGCGAGGGGCAGCAACCCTGTTCAGCATCGCGTTTATGCTAGTATTTTGTTTTGTTTTGTTTTGCAGTAATGCCACTAGATACAATATATATGCACACAGTGTCTAAAGGCAGAGTGTCCCACATACAAACAATCAGGTGCAGAAACAGATGTCATCCAGATGTCTAACGCGTGGCCGGGCATTGAACTAGCACAACATTAACCGCCGGGCACTCTCCATCCCAAGAGGCCAGGCTTCTGGTCTTGTAGTGAGCCGCAAGTGTTCTCCATGGGGCAACCCATCCTATACCCAAGTTACCATAGCAACATGCACAGACACACACACACATACGCACTCAAATGTGGCTGAATTAATCACTCACTCGCTCACGCATGAAATGATGCTGGAATAGTCAGCATCCAACCCTGCTGGCTTTGGGGCTTCATCCGTTCTCTGGCCTGGCCCCATCCTCTTCCTTTCCCAGCAATGCAAACTGCCAAAAAAATGTGAAAAGGTGGCATTTACACCCATAGATTGCTCCTTCAAGTACTTCTCGGTTCGACTCACAACTGATTGGTACATGGACGTCAAGTCGGAGCTACAATTTTCCCCGAACTGCAGGGAGCGTTGCACAACAAATCACAGGTAGAGCGCACCGTAAGGGCAAAAGAACCTGTAAATATGTACATACTGTACCCGCGTGCGTGAATGCACACTCTGCATCGGCCTGGTCAAATGTGTAAAACAACACCAGCAAACACAGCCACAGAAGGCTGAGAGTCTGCTTGGCCAGACACTGGGACGTTGTGAGTGTTGATGACGTTATAGGGATAGGATGGTTTAAATAAGTCACGATGTGCCAGAAATAGAAACACTGGCACACTTGGCGTTGACCTAGCCAGCCTATGTTGTCCTCCACTCTAAGCCTGAGATTGGTCATTGATTTAAGCTTTAAACAGCCAGTAGGGTCTCTGTGTCAAAGACCAAGTGGACACCTTTTCCCTATGTGAGTCCTGAAGTTTCCATTGTTATTTGATAGCTTAAAATCTTTATATTTATTGTAGCAACCAAAACGTGCAGCCTCAGGCCTGGAAGAATGTAGGGCAATGATGCACAGTATGCGTGTTTATCAGCATGGAGTGAGGAGAATTTGCTGCTGCACCTAAGGGTAGGATCGTTTATTATGTTAAAGCAAGTCAGGATGCAATTTGGAAGAAGATAATTGCTGCTTGACCACATTTCTTATCTCAATTAGGAAGGAAGAAAAACACAGTTCAACCAGCCAATTCTTGGAGCAGAGACAGACTTCAGTGTTGAATTCTGTCCAGAGAAGCAACTCCCTGGACATTTTTCCCTTTCCTGTTTTGCTGTTGTTTAGTCTTAAGAGAGTCATTCTGCACTATTTACGGTTCCCCATTTCTTGCCCAAATCCATATAAGCTATTATTCTGTTAGCAGTCGGACGTACCGCCCACGGTACATTGGATGGTTTAGGGGACTAATTGTAAATTTGTAGGACTGCTAAGGGGTTAAACCTAAGCAGTTCTGTTTGTTTTAGTCTCCGGTGGGACACTCATCTTGTGCAGATAAGTGTGTAAACAAAAATAAAGGTTGAAGTCACAGTTTTGTGTACTATATTTAAGAGATCAATGTCAACTAGAGAAATTGATTTACTGTATATAAGATTTATACTGTTGGTCACAAGTAGATGAACACGACATCAACAAAAAGCATGCTGTTTAGCATTAGCGCTCCGCTAACCCTGCTGCTAACTCTGCTAGCTGCTTCAGCTATCCATTAGCCCGTTTGTTGTTTCTAGTCACTGTACCTAGTAAACACCAGCATAATTTGACATCAGTAGCTATCTAGCATGGTAGCTAATGTAGGGTGACCACATTTTGATTTCCAAAAAAAGAGGACACTTAGCTCAATCATGAAGAACTTGCTTAAAGAAACATATTTAACATATTTAAACGATGCCTTCTCTGTGCGGTTAATTAATTGTGAAAAAAATATGTCATATAGGCTTTTACAAGTCAACAAGTGCAAAAAAATAACTTAAAAACCTCTGGAATTAAATAATGGTACAGAAATAATGCTTAATCTGCATAAAAAAAATTACCAGTATGAGGGCTGGACTGGGACAAAAAATTGACCAGGGTATTTTGACTGGAGACCGGCCCACCAGGTATTATAGGAAAAACCATAAAGCCAAAAAAACTTTGGTTGTAAGATTCAGATAATTATTTTTTTTAAAATTGAGACATTTTAAATGAGAATAAGAAAGAAAAGTATTTCTTTGTGCCCCCTTTTCCCTGTTAATGCCCTACCTGGCCCCCTGGCAAAACTTTGCTAGACCCGCCCCTGCACAGTTACCAGCTGTCAGCTACATAGAAAAGGATCCTGGTGTTATTTGTCTCTCAGAAACAGTTCATAACTTCCCTTCAACTCATATATGCCACCTTAAAGGTAACCCTGTTTCTCCATCACCTGTTTAGCTCTGATGATTCAGTAAGGACATTTCCTGGTTTCATCTTCACGTTTCCCTCTCACCACATATCCAAACCGATATTATATCACTATCAGTAACATCATAGCACCCGCCCACCTGTATAGAAACTCCGTCATGCTAGCTAGTACGCAGTATGCGTTATTGTAACTGACTGTAAAAAGTTAGCACAATGAAAATAAACTCCACCTAAACTTGGTTTATATCTGACCCAGATAGACTGCAGGTCATAACTTCACCTGAAGTTCAGTTCACCTGACGCTCGGACCGGTGGCCACCTCGGGTCTCTCCTCCTCCTGCCTCCCCTTTCCCTCATCCACCTGCTAGCCTCTGTGGAAGCTCCGCCATAGACACCACCAAATAACTGAGTTATTTTTACACACCGGCCAGCATCTGGCCAATCCACCACCTTTGATTGTTTATACCGTTACAAAACAACAACAACAAAACCATCGGCTGTAAAAACGAAAAATCTCCATCGGCCCACCAGGCAAATGCCCGATGGCCAGTCCAGCTATGGTCAGTACGATGGAAATTTCTTTTGCAGTTCGTCTGAAAAGATGCACTTGCGCTTTGGGATCGTTTGAACATCATTAGGCGCGTTGCTGCGCGCTGTCAGTCCCGTCCTTGAGTGCAGAACAAGCGCTCACAAAGCAGCAGTTCGGGGATGACGTCACACACATGGGTCCTCGAAAATCCCCCCGGACAGAACGTGAAAAGTGCACATGTCCGGGGAAAAGAGGACGGTTGGTCACCCTAAGCTAATGGTAAAAATTTGCTGACCTGGCTTGTTTCAGATGGATTGACTTATTACCCTCAGCTTCTTTGTTATGTCAGTGTCTATCAGTATTGGCAAAGAATAAAGAAAAGAATAAAAAAAGATGGGAGAAATAGCCTTCAACCATGTTATGAGTGTTAACACTGCATAGCTTGTACATACGTCGGGCGACGTTCTTTTTTAAAATGATAAAATAAGAGTAATAATGGCAAAGAACAATCTAATGTTAGCAAGGTTTTTCTAAGCCCAAAAGTCAGATCAAACCTTATAATTCTATGGTCATGGAACAATTCTAATATTATTAATACTTTATTGTGTTTTGGAAAGAAATCCTCTTTTATCCTCAATGTACATAGAGGTCATGGGTCAAGAACAGAGCAGCATCTGGGCAGGGATTCAGGGATTTACTAATAGACAGTTCTGCAGGGAGCTGGTTCCACACACTGACATATTTCAGCTTGAAACTAGGTCATGCAGGGACACCCATTACTACTTTATCCTTTTGTGTATGTTCTGCTTGTGCACTTGTGTGTGTCTGAGGTGGCGTGCAATAGTCTCCATGGTGCACTAACGGTCTTTATGGTGTACTAAGTCTATGCTGTGATGCCAGCTTTATTCAGCAAGCTGTGATCATTCATGGTTGGATTATGGAATGGGTATGTGTGTGCAGGCGTGTGTCTGACTTACTCAGTGCAGGCCAGATGGACTCAGATATATGTTTCCTTAGGGTTGTCTTTGTGCAGCAGTAAGTAAGTAAAAGAGAAAGAGCGA